CCTTCATACTATCCCAAAAGCTTGCATATTCACTGTCCAGAAAACTCTCTAAAGTTTTCTGTGAATCAAAACTCCTTACACACGAACTTCAAAGATATCTATGTCAATATGTCTAAATCATTCACACAAAGGTGTTCTGTCCAACCATCTATGTTACAACTAAAAGGGTCATACCATTTGTTTCTATAAAGTGTCACACTCTTGAGGTCAAGACTTCCGCAATATGTTTCAATATCTCTCAAAAGATATTTGAACACATTCTGTTTGAGGAGAAAGGGTTGAAAAAGAAAAGATTTGTATAAGTCTATTCACCCCCCTCTAGACTTCTACCTCACACGGGACCATCATGTTCTTTGATAGAGAACAAGTTTATCCTCTTTGGGATTCCCTGGTCTTCCTTCATCCACCTTCCCACCGCACCAGCAGCTTAAGCCCTGAGGCTGTACCGCACTAGTTAGTGTTCTTTGATAGAGAACATGTTTATCCTCTTTGGGATTCCTTGGTCTTCGTTCGTCCACCTTCCCACCGCACCGGCAGCTCAAGCCCTGAGGTCGTACCGCACTAGTTAGTGGTCTTTGATGGAGAACAGGTTTATCCATTTGGGATTCCCTAATATACGTTCGTCCACCTTCCGACCGCACCGGCAGCTTAAGCCCTGAGGCCGTACCACACTAGTTATTTCTTTGATGGAGAATGAGTTTATCCTCTTTGAGATTCCCTGGTCTTCATTCGTCCACCTTCCCACCGCACTGACAGCTTAAACCCTTAGGTCATACCGCACTAGTTAGTGTTCTTTGATGGAGAACAAGTTTATCCTCTTTGGGATTCCCTGGTCATCGTTCATCCACCTTCCCACCACACCGACACCTTAAGCCCTGAGGCCGTACCGCACTAGTTAGGTTCTTTTGATGGAGAACAGGTTTATCCATTTGGGATTCCCTGGTATACGTTCATCCACCTTCTCACCGCACCGACAGCTTAAGCCCTGAGGGCGTACCGCACTAGTTAGTGTTCTTTGATGGAGAACATGTTTATCCTCTTTGGGATTCCCTGACCTCAGGAGTGATGTCTCCCACCTCCCCCCATTTGTTTTCTTGGGAGGAAGGAAATCTCTGTGAGAATTTCTTAAGGTGCTCCATATTCCACGTGCCGGCAGCACGCCCCTCCATTGTGTGGAGGAAGAACGTCCGACGAGCGTATATCCTCAATACCATGTATGGCCACTATTATCCCTGCAGGGTGATCTTTCACGCTAGCGTCCAAGGCCCCAAGAGGCTGGAGCAGACGCGCACATGGATTTTGTTCATGACTGCGATAACTAAGCTCGGCGGAAGACATCTGAGGTATGGCACGCCGAACGTCCCCTTGTACACTTGTCCATCCATAACCTCGAAGCTCAGGGGAGGCAAAAGAAAACGACGAATACCTGAATAGTCTCTGTCGCCGGACGGAGGAGTACTTCCTCAACAATTTTCCGCTCCGCAGGGGTATCCCCGGTTTCCGCACCCCTGAGGATCACTTGATTTCCAATTTCTTCTTGTGGCCGTTCAGCCCGAGGGATCCCTCCAGGCGTTTATCGGCATGGCGATAATCGGCGTCTTTGGCCTCTGCCTTCCGCCGGTCGTCCCTGCGCCATGTGAGTGGTTTCTTGTCTTGTTGTTTCTGGTTCTGAGGAGTTGGTCCCCTCGTGAACTCTCCGAGGTAGCCCCTCCAGATAAGTTCGTCAATGGCCATCCTCAGTCCGTTGTAGTGATCCATGTTGTGCCTTTCCTTGCGATGGTACTCACAGTAGGCGTTGAGGTTCTTCCCCATTGGACCTCTAGTGATTGGCGGCTCTTCGAGCATCCCTTTATCCTTGATGGCCTTAAAGATTTGGCTCACCGTGAATGCCAAGTGGGTAAGTCCGGTAAACTCCCGCCTGGCGTTGTCTGGAGGACCCTGGGTTCCCCAAAGGGCGTAACATCGCTCATCTTCTTCTTTTCTATCACAGGGGCTTCTGCCGACATCAGCCCCAGACGATTCGCTACCTTTCGGGCCGTAGGGGCGGCCACCCTATCTCTATGGGCGATCTCCTCTTCGACTGCCGCATACATCTGTGCACTGGCTAGAACCTCGACATAATTGTTTTCGGGGTTCCTCTTCAAATCCAGGTAAAGATCCCCGGTTATAAGGGCGTTGGTGAAGAGGGTGATGCTCGTGCACTCCGTGAGGTCCTCGACCTTTAGGGTTTCATCCCTCCACCATATGAGGAAGGTGGATAGGGTTACCTCCGAGGAATGGGGAAAAACCACCATGGAATTTGGAATGCTCCCTTGGTGGACGCTCGTCAACTAGCTGAAGTGCTTCTTCGACGTGGAGCTAGAGGCGAACTGCGCCATGAACTGTCTAGACAATTGTTCAAAGCTGTCGATGGATCTGGGCCTGAGCTGCTCGAACCATTCCTGTGCTGGCCCTCTGAGGGTGCTGAAGAACAGCCTGCAGATGGCCTCATCGGAGGCTCCCAACATGGAGAGTCCTCCCTGCAAAGAAAGCAGATGAGCTATAGGGTCCCCCGACCCGTTGTAAATCAGGGCGCCGGACGGCCTAACGTCCCTGGGAATCTCCACCACCATGATCCTGGTGGAGAAAGGAGAAGATAGGGCAATTCTAGACTGAGCTGGATCAGTATCTGCCCGTCGGCTCAACTCATTGATTTGCCTCTGAAGGTCCACGAGCATTGCATCTCATGGGTCGGTGATGGTTGATGTGGGGTTTACCAGTGTAAGACATTATCGGTACGCACGACGCCAGCACCACGTTGCCTATGGATGACACGAGCCTCCTTCCCCAAGCCATTAAATATGGGGATCTGTTCCCTGGCCATGTGTTCATTTCGGGGCATCACAGGGGTGCGGTCCCTGACCGCCTGCTGCCGTGTCCCTATGAAGGTCCTGCGTCTGGTATTCCCCCCATGTCTGGGGATCGAGTATTCCGGACGATCCTCGTGTGGACTGAGGAACGAGAATCAACATTCTCGCCCGTACGCTCACCGAGCGTTTGCATGGAGCGAATGGTAGAGAACGGTGTCCGCTCTATGTTGGTGGAGTACGCGTTCTGCTTCCCATTCGTCCGCCAAGCAGCTGATGGTCTCCTTCATTTCCCTTAGGGCATTTGGGTCCCGTCGGACCTCGTGGGGGATCATGTAAGTGAGCACCCCAAAATTTTCGCGCGCCTCCACAAGCTGCTGGATTGTGCGCCTGCCGCTTGGTTGTGGCTCCTCCTGCTGTGAGCGAGCCATTCGGACAGGTCCTGGGAGTTCCTTTCGTTGTTTCTTGCCATCTTACTTGTCTTGACTGTTTTTAGAGGTGGTTTTAGCTGAGAGTTTGGTTTTGGAAGACTTTTTGATCAATTTCCCCACAGACGGCGCCAGTGTTGAGGTTTATTCCTTCAACCCGTAGGCCCAACACACGACCCAAGGGTTTCGAATGGAAGAGTGAGGTGAAAAAGACGAAGAAACAAGCAAGAAGGACCCAATAAGAAGTTCCAATATAATTCTGCGGTTACAAGGCGTGAGTTCGTCCGTCCCACTGCTATGTTATGAGCTCCTAAGAATTGCTAGAATGATATAGTGCTAAGTTGCCAACCCTTTACAATAAAATAAATGCTACTCCCCCTGTCCCCCTATAATTGTCTCATTTTCCATTTTTGGATGTCCCCCTATTATTGTCCCATACCATATTTGGTAACATTTTCGTGACTCTAATTCATTCTTACTCTATTCCCACTTTATCAACTCATTATCAACCACATAATTCCACTTTTCTTAAAAACCACACCACTCCCTTCCGTACCAATATTAGGGGGACGGAGAGAGTATTATTTATACCACCAATGGGTAGTTGGATAAACTGACGTGTCGAGCTGCGGATGGCTGAGTCTCAACCACCAAATCTTATGCATTAAATGTGCAACCACCAAATCTTTTACATTAAATGCGCTTCCCGCCAGGATCCTGGCTTCCCGGCAAGGGGTGGGGACGTTCGTCCCCATGAACTTGCCCCCTGTTTCCTGTTGGGATATTGGCTTCCCGCCAAGGGGAGGGAACATTCGTCCCCATGAGCTTACCTCTTGTTTCCTGCTGGAATCTTGGCTTCCCGCCAAGGAGTGGGGACGTTCGTCCCCATGAGCTTGTCTCTTGTTTCCTGTTGGGCCCAAAGTCCTGCAAGACGAGCATCTCGCGCTGCTCCTGGGCCAAGGTACCTGCCAATGCTAGGATACGTACGTCTCCTTGGCCTTGAGGCTTAGCCCCGTTGGGGACGGACCTCGTTAGGATAAGTGAAAGGGTAATCCGTTGTTTTGGGCCTTCTGAGGACTTTCGTAGGGCAGCCTTTGAGGGTTTATGGGTCAACGCCCGTTGGGCCATTAACCCAACAGATTCTATTCTTATTTTTAAATAATAAGCTTTAAACTTTTTAAAAACTAATTCCAATGAAATAATTTGTACTCGTATTTATTTCACCTGTTATGCACTTGATCCATCGAATAAATCGTTGATGATCGATGAATGATATATGAATGAAATATTTCTAGCGAACTAATTTAGTGATGAACGTTGACGGTGGGCTTCCACAAGGCCCATACCCCGACTTATCGGCATCCTACTTGAATTGATTGGTCTTTGTCTGGTTTAATCTAAGGGGGGATATGACTCCGTGCCCCATCTTTTAGGCGATATTGGACTTTGCACAACATTTTCAATTTCATTAATATTTGCACCTCATCAGGTCAAAAGTTGTGAAAGAATGAGGTGGAAAATCAAATAATTTTATATTAAAATACGATGCTCACAGTAATGATTTCGAAAATAGAGTGTGACGTTAAATATAATTTAAAAATGGAATGCAAAATCAAATTCTATTTTAATCTAACGATGTTTTTTCGTAAAAATGGTAGTCATAAAAGCATATTTAATGAATTTCCCCATTTTTTTTTTGGATAATTAAGGGATGAAGTATATTCGGATCCAAACCCGACGCCGTGGGTCGGAAGAAAGTGACTTAGAAAGCCGTCATTCCGCCACCAGACAGTCTGACCCAACTAATCGCGTCGTTTTCGCATCCACCAGTCCTACACTCGCAAATAATTCGCCCGCTATCACCGGCCGGAGCTCAGTTCCGACGCACTTTGACCTTCACAGGGAACCCTAACTATCGCGTGTCCAGGCAATACCTCCGTGCCCTTTCTTCTCCGTTCAAACGCACACACTATTGTATTCGAATAGTTCTTTGAGTAGAAGCGTAGAACTGTAGAAAGCGCCGAAAAGACGTCAGTCCCTATACCTGCATTTATACTTGGTCAGTGATTAGGATGGGGGCCATGACGTCATCGGTGGCAGCAAAATTTGCGTTTTTTCCGCCCAATCCAGCTTCTTATGAGGTAAAGATGGAGGGGTCCAGCGCGAAATTGACGATGACGGAGGTGGAGGAGAGAGAGAACGTGGATGTCTTGAAGTTGCCTACCAAGAGAGGGACGGAAGTCGTTGCACTGTACGTGAGGAACCCGGCAGCTAAGCTAACCCTGCTATACTCTCACGGCAACGCCGCCGATTTGGGCCAGATGTACGGATTGTTCTGTGAATTAAGCCGTCATCTCCGCGTCAATCTGATGGGGTATATCCGATGCTTCTTTCTATTGTTCAATAATCAATACAATAACATATTTTGTGAGTTAAATGCACTGGAATTGGATTGAGTGTTGAATCAGAATAAAAATTGAATCTTTTATTGTCTAGTCAAAGAGTACTGGTAAATTTGTAATATCTAATAATCTAATATGCTGAGGCAATGCTTTGCCTGCTGCTGGTTTTCAACTTATAACTAATTCTAAGGTGGTTAGTGACTGTTATACCCGTTTTCTTCTTTCTAGATTGCGATATGAGCTCCTTCTATGAATCTGGGTCTTTTTTAAGACGTAGTTTTTATGCTGATTTTTTTTGTTCAGTATTGTTCCTAATTACTTATAGTCTTGAACTCTTGCAACATTGAAACTGAGGGGTAGTTGATAAAGTGTTGCTGTCTTTAGTTAGGTGCAATAAAGCTTACAAGGAAAACAGTGTATATTCCATTTCTGGAAATCATTCCAGTAATTTTATGGATTTGTGCTTTCTTATATACTTCGTATGTTGGATGAAGTGACTAGGAAAAGCGCATCAACATTAAATTCTGGACACTTGCTTACGGCTCTATTTGGTACACAAATATGATAAGTAGCCATTGACTTACTTTTTAACTTATATGGATGTTACTGAACTTATCTTCTCAATTTTTCCTTCCCATCGCTAGAGGTTCAAATATGATTCTGTTTGTTTCTTCTCACTTGTAGGTATGATTATTCGGGGTATGGACAGTCCACCGGCAAGGTAAGAGGGAAAGAAATTGATTAATATATTTATTTGATGGTGTTGAGATGACTTTTGCTGAACTTTTTTTTTTCTTCATTTTTTATAGCCAAGTGAGGAGAACACTTACGCTGATATAGAAGCTGCATATAGATGTCTTGAAGAGACGTATGGTGCGAAAGAAGAAGACATAATATTATATGGACAGTCTGTTGGCAGTGGACCAACTATAGATTTGGCATCCCGTTCTCCCAGGTTACGGGCTATAGTTTTGCACAGTCCAATAATGTCCGGACTGAGGGTAATGTATCATGTGAAGAGGACATATTGGTTTGACATATATAAGGTCAGTATGTTCTCTTCAAGGCACTTATGTTGCACATGCTAATATAGTTGGTACATTTAAGTCGAGACTCCAGAGTTGGACTGATATTTTTTAATACATCATTGTTCATCTGTGATGCAGAATGTTGACAAGATACCTTTAGTTGAATGCCCTGTTCTAATTATACATGTGAGTTTATATCTACTCCTGAGTTTCTTCATAAATATTGGGATTTTTAGTTCTTATAACCTAAAGGTCTGTTTGGCTAGAGGGGGTTGGAATTGAAGACTTTTGAAGGCTTAGCCTAAGTGTATAACTTATTAAATACGGAGTATTTGTTTCTGAAGATGAACAAAGGCTGTTTCAAATGTTATATTGTTATATGAATATATATATATATATATATATGATTACCTATGTCTCTGTACTGTATTGCTTCAATTCTATAAAATCTTAAATATAAATCAAGATCCAGACGTAGCCCTCCGAAAAATCCTATCCGAACAGAACTCAAGTGTTTAGGCAACGTGCATACACTGACATTCCTTCATATAAACACTGAGATACTTTTAGTACATTACTGTTAAGGAAAGGCACCATTTCCCATATAAAATCCTGCAAAACTGTGAAAAATGGAGGGATTATCCATTTTGTCTCTTGAAAGGCACGTGCTTTATTGTAATCAAGCTTTTTAGATCTTATTGAAGTTGCATGCTAATCTTTACCTACATGCCTGTTTTTTAAACCTCAAAGGGAACTGCTGATGATGTTGTGGACTGTTCCCATGGGAAGCAGCTTTGGGAACTTTGTAAACAGAAATATGAACCACTGTGGGTTAAAGGAGGTAATCATTGTGACTTGGAGCTCTACCCTGAATACATTAAACATCTCAAGAAATTTGTATCGGCTATCGAGAAATCATCACATTCAAAAAGAGATGGACCCCCAAACATTGAAGTCATGGAGAATCCTCGAAACAGTATTGATTGTAATGGACCTGGAGAAAGCAGTGTGCAGACCACCACAACTTCTAGGCCAAGTACAGAAAAGAGGGAGAAGCCTAAAAGAAGTATAGACTTCAGAGATAAATCAAGAAATAGTGTTGATAGGAGAGATAAAACACGTAAAAGTGTAGATCAAGCTGAAAAGCCAAATTCCAATACAGAACCATCAGAGAAAGCAAGGAATAGTATAGACCGGTATGATATACTTAATTGGTTAAAAATGTATGGAGTAATTTTTACTTTCATCTCTGCTTTAGAATCCGTTTGAAACTTGGATATTACTAGCGAAAGAAAATATGGAATAAAATATAAAGAAATTTGTGAGAGAATAAAACATTTGTCCAAACTTAATTATTTTATGACTGGTATTTGTTCAAACTCATTTCCATTGCGCTAAACATATGCAATGTTTCTTTTTCTATGCATTTTTTTGCCTTAAAGGCATATATGAGAAAATAAATATCTGTATCAAATTTTCATTTCCCTAGCATTTACAGGACCTAAACACACTTACACACCCTTAAAACTTCAGTATTTGGAGTTTTAGACAAATATGAGAGTTAAGCATTTGATTTTCATTGTTGCAGCTTTGGTGGTATGATGAGATCAGCTGTATTATGCAATATTGACTGTTTCAAACCAACAGGAGCAAAGCTCGCGGGATAGAGGAAAAGGACCACCGACGTTACACGTTAGACTATAATTTTTAATTTATTGTACTTGTGAATTAGTTGCCTGATGGGTTATGTTTCCTTTTGTGTGTTGTTAATTTTCATTGGCAGATAATGTATTACAAATGTAGCATTTCTTTTATCGAGCTCATCTGGATTAGAGATACTAGTGTTTTTTCCGGTTTTAAGCCGATCTCAATGTAATTGCCTAAATTATCTATGTGTATTTTTCTATCACGGTATTAGACTTCCATTTGACAAACCAGTTTCAGAAAAGCAGCAATTCTCTAGCATCTATTCTTGTCTATTCTCTATTTATCTGTGATGCTCGTTTATGAATTTTGGGCTTGCACTAAATTTGTTAAGCAGGACAAAATTTTGTTCTGGGTCATGTCCTAAAAAATTTGCTTGGTACAAAAAGATCAGTAGAATACAAATTTTAAATGGAGTACTGTTGGACAATAGCATGGACACGGTCCCCGGTCTTTATTTTTTTACCCTCCACGGCTCCACCCCCTCCTTATCCTTCTTCAAAATGTATTCGGGCATTCGGCCCCTTTTAAAATGCTTACAGGAGTTACAGTGGTTCTAATGCATATAAATAAATAAATGAGACCGGACGGGCTGGTCTCGGTCCAAGAAAGCGAGACCCGAGGCCCCATTTCCGCCAATCTGGTCTCAATCCCCCTTGAAGTCTTGAACCTTAATTTCTATTCCCGTTCGGAAAACTGACCGGTCCTGGTTTGATCCTGCGATCTGACCTTGTCCACCACAACTCCACAAGTTGGACATGGTTCCAAATAGTAGAGGATTGGGTTTACCTATGTTTGGAAAAAGACCGGATCTGACAAGTCAGAGTTTTAAAACAGGCTAAAATTGGTTAATTGGATTGTAATTTCATGGACTGGTATATTTAAATGGTGGGAACTTTAGTCTATGCACATACATTGGTTATGTAAATTATATACATCGATACAGGGATGTCTATGTCTGGATGCTCATATACCTTTTTTGTGTGACTAACAATTTTTTTCAACGTCACATACTAGTATTTTTTATTTGTGAAATTCAAATTCCTTTCAATAGATACTATTATTTGTTGTCTAACTTAACATACATCATTGTTAGTGTGAACTGTGAAGGAATATTAAATGCGTACAAATATAATTCTGTGTGCATTACACATGTTGTAATTTGTATATGCAATACTTCCTATGTCCCTCTGTATACAGTAAAAATGTGTGGTTGAGTTTGTATAGAAGAGAAAGAATTAACATGAATCTCAAATTCTTTATTTAAAAGGGGAAGTGACAAAAATTAGTGGAATGAAAAAAAGTTTTCAAAGTTATAAGTGACGGATGAAGTATATGCTATACTCCCTCCGTCCCGCTAACAATGGGACAAAAAAGGAGTGACACGCAAATTAATAAAAAGTGGTTTATGTGGTTGATATTGAATTGATAAAGTAAGAATGATTTAGAGTCGCACAAACTTTACCAAATTTGATATGTGACAATCTTATTGGGACGGACCGATAAGGTAAAATGGGACAATCATAGCGGGAAGAAGGTAGTAATATTTATCAAGGACAACGAGTATAAGAATATGCAAAACCATGTTACAAATTTTGAAGAGTAAATTCCTTAAATAGAACTAGAACATTGACAAAATGTGCAAATAAGACCGCTCTTATTTCCTTCCTAAAATAAGATTCATAGATACTCAATTAATGAAATTTCATTCATTTAATAGGATCAAATAAGTCCTATTTAGGGATCTATAGACATATAGTCATATTTATGCATTTTGATACTTGTTAGTCCTATTTAGAGCAATTACTATTAGTTTTACTAGACAATAAATAAATGGTAGTGTTCATGCTCTTGCTAAGGTACTTATCAGTTATATTCGATGTTCTAAAAGGCGTGAGACATGACAAGACGTCGAGGTCAAGCCTAAAGGCTTTGACCTGGGCAGGAATAGGCGAAGCCTAGACGTGAAAAGACGTATTAGATTTCTATTGATAATATTTTATTTTAACATATGCAGTATTGGAGTCATATTACTACTCCATATTTTGTTTTAGATTTCTATTGATAATTACTACTTCTTATTTTATAGGGGAGAACTACCAAATAAGCCCTCTAATTTTCATAAAAAGTGCAAATAAGCCCTTTTATAGGAGGCTTTGTCCGGCCGTCGCCATTTGGGGCGGTTTCCGGTGGAAGTTTTTAATGATTTTTTTTTGATAATCTTTTTCATTAAGTCTAGTTTACTCATACTAAATTTAAGCTAAAAATTCAACCGGGAAGACAATCAAATGAATTTTTGAAGATAACTGCGTAGTTAGACAACGCAGTATATTTCAGAAAATCATTTGACTGTCTTCTCAATTGAATTTTTAGATGAACTTTGGTATGTCTAAACTAGACTTAATGAAGAAGATGCTCAAACAAATTCCACCGGGAACCGCCCTAAATGGCGACAGCCGGACACAGCCTCTCGTAAAAGGGCTTATTTGCACTTTTTATAAAAGTTCGAGAGCTTATTTGATAGTTTTCCCTATTTTATAGTGATATGTAGAGAAAATAAATAAATAAATAAATAAATGGTCATGTACAATATATTATACTCGTATAAGATTGAACCTAATTTTGACATTGTTTAATATCTTTTTATGTATAAAAAGTGAAAATACAAAATAATATGTTGTTTTGTACTATTTCGAATTAGATATCATAATAAAATGTTTAGTAAAAAGTACTTTTTAACGCTTAACCTATTTTTTCTTTCCAAAAAATAATTTATCTAAAAAACTTACGCCTTTTCACGCATTGGCACCACCTTTCACACATAAACTTACACTTTTTTATGCTTTTGCCGAACAACTCTTCAGTTGACTGCCTTTTTACGTCTTTCTACTATGTGAGGCGTTTTTCCGTTGCCTCATGCCTAGAAGCGTCTAGCCCCGCCTTTTGCTGCCTTTTAGAACATTAGGGTTTCAGATACACTTTCTTTTTTCCATCTTCTTCTATCTTTTGGCCTAGAAGAACTGCTGCTTCATTTTATTTGGATTTGACATATTACTTCACTAATATGCAAAAACGAGTGCAATCTTATCCCCTTCCCTTTTTCTTTTCATTCCATTCATCACTTTGAGAAATCCGTGACTTTATTTTCACATTTGTTAGTATGAGAACATTAAAGTGAGCTTAGGTGGTCTCTCTTTAGAATTATTGTTGTACTCTGTAGACCGTATAGTAGTGTATTTGTTTCTCTTTTATATGCGATATACTTCTATTTTTAAATGTGATCTACTCATGAAATTATTTGATGCAATTATTTATTTTCACTTTGCTCATTTTTTGATGTCACCTAAACAAGGCTACTTAACAATTTTGATAAAATCTACCTAAAGCGGATATAACCCCATAGATTTGCCTAAATTTAGAAAAGAATTTCGAATGAGAGTGTGCTAAGTCTGCTTAGTGCTTACTCATTTAGCTCTTACAAAATTTAAACAATTCATGAGAGTCTAAACATTATCTTACTTTAAGGTATGCTTCATCCGTTTTGATATAATATTTGCATAATTTTGTAATACATACTCTGCTAGTAACTCATATAATTTATTAAAAAAATGCTAGTCTCAACCAAAACATTCATGCTTAAGAACAAAATGTCATCCAGACTATGGGAAGGCTAGAGACACACATTCAATTGCAATAGGAGATGATACTATAGAATATACTACCTCCGCCCCTTAAAACTTTGCCAAAGTTGACCGGCACGAAGAATAATAGAGTAAAAACTGTGTGGTTGAGATTTGTGCATAGGAGAGAGAAATAACAAAAACCACAAAATAATTGATTAAAAAGGAAAGATGACAAAGTTTTAAGGGACGGAGGGAGTATGACAGACACTACAGACAAATAAGACGAATTATCATATGATCCCATTAGTGATGCATTTGTTCTATCAAGTACACAAGATCCGCATCCACCCACTTCAGAGGCTTCTACTATACCAAACTCATCTCCACAACCCCGTTCAGAGGTTTGCCCGTCAAATAAAAAACAGAGCAGAACTGATTATCAAAATAAACCAATGTCTATTAATCCAAAAGGCACATAAAAATTCATGGAAAAGCTCACATAAAATGTGGACAAATTTACTCATGTTACTGAATCGATCGACACAAAAGAGTATAATTGTTGGGACGTGATAAAGGAGGTCCCATGATTATGTGTTGATGATCACTTTAGGGTCTTGATTTGCTGAATACGAAAGCAAAGAAATCTAAATTCTTTAACACGATTCCAGAAGATCGCGCTGAGTGAGCTTATAAATTGAAATGACTAGTAGATTAGTATTACGAATTGAAGTTGAGAACTTATTTGAATGTTGTGTGTGTTTTGGATTACTTCTATGCTTATTTCTTAGTTATTAACTTTATGAATGCGAGATTTCTTGCTTAAGTGAGCATTGAATGTTTGATAATGACTATATTTACTTATTGTCGTGGTTAATTTTTTTTTTGTTGGACCAGTTTAAGTAATGTCACATGATCATATACATGAAGGTATTGATACTCACATGGAGGAGATGGAAGAAGAGGAGACTAGACAAGAATTGTATAAAAGTATTAGCTATGTATGTGTGGTGATCCAGATAGCCATATACATGTTAAATTTGCAAGTAATTGACATGTACAAGAAGCATGTTCATCGGTATTCACTTAGCAGAAGACCAAAAACTATAGATGAATATGACTACATTCATAAAATTCTCAAGAAAGATTCACAAGATTTTCGAGATATTTATAAAATGTATATAGACGTGTTGTTGAAATTATGCCGCATATTCAGGGAGAAACAACTACTAGGAGATACAAGGTATATTTGTATTGAGGAAATGCTAGCAACGTTATTGCTTATTGTCGGCAAGAATAATAGATATTGTCAAGTACAAAAAACATTTGGAGGGTCACATTTCACTGCAAGTCAAAACTTCAATAAGGTTTTGAAGGTTTTTTACTAGGAAGGCAAACCACCAAAATCATTGGGGTAAATGCTGGGGAACATTTACCGAGTTGTATTAAAATGAAGAAAAATACAAACGGAGGAGGGGGGCTAGGCCAAAACCCCTCCAGATGAGACATATCTCTAAGAAAAACAACAACTGAAAAAAACAAGCAAAACTCATGGAGGGGGGCTAGGCCTGACCCAATGAGCTACATCAATAAACAAATCTAAAAGAAGGAATGCCAAATAAATCAGAGTAGTAAGCATGTTGGGCTGAAGTAGGTAGATCCGAAACCCGCGAAAACTTTTGATGTCGGGCTTTGGCCTGAAGAGCCAAAAAAATGAGATACCCAGTTACATTCCCTAAGCCCATGTTGAAAAGAAACCCCTTTCCTTTTTGCATTCAGTGGCGTTCCTGATATTCGACCTTCCATCTACTCACTCCACCATCGGAGATATACTTCAAAGCCACATCTGCATTTATTTCAACTTGGAAATATGAGAACCCCGCTGATATCGTCCAATTCGTAGCATAAAGAACCAAAGCGAGCTCAACTTTCAGAGGCGATGAGACAAAGAGGGGGGAAAGAAATGGTGAAGACCATCGCTCCTTGAGTATTCCTCATAATCGCTCCACCCGCTGCAATCCCAGGTAAAAACTTAGCATCAGTATTGAGTTTAAAACCTTATTTTGGTCGCTTCCATTTGATTGCTTTGAAAAGACCTCCTTCAAGTTTGAAGTTATTTGGGATCAAATTTTCTTGAAATAACACATCTCTAATAGTTTGAATCTTCAAATTAGGCAAACTGGTAACCCAGTTTTTAGTATATATATTGCTTTGGAAGATTATAAACTCAGGAGAAGGCACACTGTTGTCCGAGCCCCAAATAATTTTTGAGTAAATTTTCCACAATTGCCAACAGATAATACCTAACAGATTTTGCTTAAAGAAGTACGTTAACTTTTAACTCCCATCCTTAAATCACCAGGCCATGAAGATACCTTTAATAGATGTATTCCGATTAGGGATAGGTTTTCCAAAGATTTTCATGAAATATCTCCAAATGGAATGAGCCACTCTGCACTGAAGAACAAGTGATCAACTGGGTCTTCACTTTGTTTACAAAGAGGACATATGGATGGATTAAGAGTCGGTTGGAACTGCTTCAAGTTATCGGTAACTGGTAGGATTCCTTTTAGAGTTTTCCAGTGAAAAGCTTAATTTGCAAAGGACGTCTAGGATGCCAATCGTGTTTGAATGAAAAGGTGGAAGAGTGATCATCTCTAACCATGTTGTAGGCTGATTTTAATGAGAATTTTGCATCATCTTCAGGTTACCATCTCACATTGTTATCAGGTTTAAATCAATAAAGATTACTCACACAATCATTGATCAAACATATCCTCCTCCAGATGGGGGAGTCTGTAACCTTGGGAATTAAATCAAGACCTCTATGATACCTTGCCCCAATAAAATCCACCCAAAGTGAACTTTAGGTCTTTCATTTCCATCATAACTTTATAGAAAATGCTTTCTCCAAATCAGATAAAGACCTAATACCCAACCCTCCTTTCTCAGTAGGGTGACACAAATCTGACCATTTAATGCAATGATATTTAGTTTTATCATTGGAGGAGACTCAGAAAAATGCAACCATATTTTTTCAAGGATACTTATAACTTTCTTTGGTAGGTTGTCAGCTGCCAACACATGAAATGGGATGGCACTAAGAACATGCTTGATAAGGATTAACCTATCCCCTGATGAGACACATTTCTTTGCTTCAAAGGAGAAAGTTTTTCTTCAAACTCACTAATGAGTCTCTCGCAATAATTAAATCTTTTGTGTAAATTAACACCCAAATACTTAATAGATAAAAAGGCCTTCTGCATTCCAATCTTCTGAATTACTTTAGTCCTTGCTCTTGCAAACTTCCCACTAATAAAAGAACTTTTATTCAAATTGACTGATTGACCATAAGCAGCCTGATAGGAATTGAGGAATTTTTTTAAATTCAGAAAAGATCGGGAATCACCATTAAGAAAAATAAGTATATTATCAACAAAACCAAGATGTGAGACTGGATAACCCACCTTCCTCATCCAATAGGGCTTAATAAAATCATGCTTCATGTTCCATTTTAAACCTGTAGAAAAAGCTTTAGAGGCTATAATAAACAGAAAAGGACTCAGAGGGTCTCCCTGTTTAACTCCTCGTTTAGGCTGGAAGGACCCATGAGGAACCCCATTGACCAAAATAGACAGATAGGTAGCACTCAGGTTACTAATAATAAGCTGCACAAAATTATGAGAGAAGCCAAATCTGTCTAGTATCAGGCCAAGAAAATCCCAAGATAACTTGTCAAACGCCTTAGCCATATCAAGCTTCACAACAACATTAGAACCCCTAATCTTGTTATCAATAGAGTGTAGCATTTCCTGAGTAATAAGAACCTGATCAACGACATCTCTGTTCTGCATAAAACCTGCTTGCTCAACTGAAATAATTTTGGCAAAATTGTAACCAATCTGGATGCTAACACTTTTGTGCACACCTTATTCACAAAATTGGAGAGACAAATTGGCCTAAAATCTGTAAAAATTTCAGGGTTTTCAGTTTTAAGAATCAAGACCACCAAATTATAAGCCATACCCATTAGAATAGGAATTTCCATAAAAAATTATTGAACAACTCTTACAACATCAATATATGTCCCAACATTTTTTGAAAAATTTGCCATTAAATCCATTTGGCCCTCCAGCCCCATTTTGGTTTAGATCCCAAAGGACATATTTAACTTCTTCCTCTATAGGTAATTGCATTAGCATATTGTTTTCAACTTCACTGACCAGTGCATGTATATGATGTAGGATAGTGGTATCTTCAACTTGGTTGTTCACAAAGTAGAGCTTAGAAAAAAAAGAGACAGCTGCATCCCCTAGTTCAGGTAAGGTGGAAACCAGATTTCCCTCTTCATTCACAATAGTATTGATATTCTACTTGCTGTTTCTAATATTCACAAATGAGTGAAAAAACTTGGAGTTAGAGTCTCCGTCTTTGAGCCAACAAATATGTGCTTTCTGTTTCTAGCATTTCCTTTCCATTTTGTATTTATTCATAAGTAAGACCCTCAAATGAGACCAATTATCTCTATTAGCTTCATTTGGATCTTCCTCATATCTGGATTCAGCTTGTTGAACCTTTGACTCACATAACTTAATATCATCAAACAAGTTCCCAAAAACCTCCTTGATCCATTTCCTAAGGTCATGCTTTAAGCACTTTAATTTGGACATCAAACCTCTCATCCCACCACCAAAGGATTGAGAAAGCCAACTTTTCTTAACAATATCAAAAAAACTTGGATGAGAAAGCCACACGTCCTGAAATTTAAAGGCTTTGGGAACATTAAAGGCATCCTGCTCACATCTTAGAAGAATAGGGGAGTGATCAGGTTTTTGCAAAATAAAAATATGAATATGGCCAAATTAATCTATAAGCTTAGAGTTGACCAAACATCTGTCCAGTCTTCTTTGAACCCTGTCATTTGATCTGTCACGCCCCGGATCTACCCGGACACGTCAACAACCGCCTTACAATCTAGATAAGTCAATCGCGGTCAACCTTACCTAATCCAACCGCGCCACCCATTTGTCCCATGCGCCCAACACAGTCTCAATCACCCCCTCCGACAACCAAACCGAGGGAACTAACCAGACGATTTTCGAATCGAAGGTATTAATCACAAACCTCCAGTTTCGATCCATATCAGCACATCGAGAAGCATAAAACATAGAGACGCAAACCATGAAGAGGCAGATCGTGGTAACGGTCGCCCTCCCACTATCGCTCCAAATCATTCACCGGACAAGAAACGACGCAAACCACCTGCTTAAAAAACAAACCATAGCTATATAGATTTTTCAAATGATTTGACATTTTCATGGAAGTGAAAAAGCATTTTCAATCATCCTATAATTTTTTTTGATCGTCAAAACAAACCGCTTATATTAATATCATTAGGAATCGGTTCGTTACAACAAACTCAAAAAGATCAACCCTGACAACAACTATCCCTAACCAATTAGCACTATCAACCCTACGGCTAGACTCAGAGACGATCACCCCTAAAAGAGCAATACAAATCACTAACCACTAAGCGGATGTGACACAACAATCACTAGTCATATAGATCCTTTTAATGACATAATATCTAGCAGAATTGTCAACCATAATTGTAAACGTAAAACTAAAGACATCAACAAAAAATAGAGCAACATAAAACATAACGCGGAAATAAAACCATAAAAATTAAATAACTGATAAATCTTCCAAACCCTAGCACCTCGATCGCTCAAAGGCGGCAGTTCAAGAGGGGGGCGGACCACCGATCTGTCTTCCCCCTTGCTCAACCCTTCACCTCTTCCTGTCTTCTCGTCGCCCGTTCCACCTCCACTACCACCACTGCCCTCTATCCATGTTGAATCACCAGAAATTAACCATTCGACCTCCTTCTCAATTGCATGAATGAGACAATATGGCTCTAGATCATCCATAGAAGACATGACTATCGTTTCTTGAACCTTGGATTCGTTTCCAAATGATGCTGCAGCACTCACATCTCCTTAAAAAACACTCTAGAAGTCTAGAGAAGGAAACCCTACGCGACGTCAAAAGCGTTAGGAAGACAAAACCCACCCTAAGCCACTAGGGAGAAAACTGACGGCAAACCTGTTTGCCCGTTCCCGGTCTGATTCTATATCCACATGGTTTAAGGAGGGTTTAGAGTTAGCCATAAAATCTTCTGTAAGCATCGTGGACCGCTTGAACCTCTATCATCTTCAAGCCCAGTGTGTGCTCTTCACTGCTTCCCCTTCCGCATTTCGTCGAGCATTTTAATGTCCAGCACCATACCCCCTCTTTCTCTCACCGCCCATTTCAATCAATTCATCGATAAACCCTCGGTCATAGCCTTAAACCCCTGTAGCAGTTCTCCCGTTATGTGGAGAAGCATAGCCAAACAGATCCCTACAAAAGTCTCTCACAAGTTCTCTCTCAATCTTGATAAACTATTGAAGTTCAAATCAGTTGATCCCGTCTCTTGCTCGAAGAATCGCTATGCCGGGCTAGGATTTCGGAGAAATGGCAAAACTTTTCCGCGGGCAGAGTTTTTGAGCAGACCAGTTTTGCCGCACATAAACGGGTTATCCTCCAAGTGCTATGCTAGTGTTGCCGAAGCTGTTGAGGTTTTGTCCAACGAGACCGAAGAAAGCGTGCCTGCCTTCGCGGATGAGGTTGAGCAATTGTTGGCGGAAATGAGAAGAGAAGAGATGAAACAGTTTCATTGTGAGTGGAGGAAACATCAGAAGAAGTCTAGAGGGATGGGGAGATGGAAATATCACGCTCTTAGGAAAAGGCAGGTAATGATTGAGACTGAGGCATGGGAGAAAGCTGCCAAAGAGTATAGGGAACTCCTGGAAGATATGTGTGCTCAGAAGTTGGCACCTAATTTACCATACATGAAATCTCTTTTTCTAGGATGGTTTGAGCCGCTTTATAAAAGAATTGCTGAAGAACAGGAGCGTTGTCGGAATGGGATAGGAAAAGACAAATATCTGAAATACATTGATCAGTTACCTGCAGATATGATTGCTGTGATAGCGATGCATAAGTTGATGGGGTTATTGATGGCATGTGGTGAACATGGTGCTGCAAAGGTGGTACATGTTGCCTATACTCTGGGAGATGCAATCGAGCAAGAGGTTGGTTGGTTCACTTTAAAAGAAAGTTCGAGTCTTTCTAGGTCAGTTTTATTACATGCTAATCAGTTGCATTTTGTATCAGATTAGGATACACAAACTTTTGGAGAAAACAAAGCAGGCTAAAGTAAATAAAGATGCAAATGATAATAAAGTTGATAAAGATACAGAAATGGATGGAGAAGAAACTGCAGAAGAAAACAAACAAAATCTGCAGAGAAGAGTCACTAATTTGATAAAGAAGAAAAACCTACGAGCTGTGAGACGGATAGTGGACAGCCAGGAAGATTTGAAGCACTGGGAACAAGGTGCCAAGGTTAAGGTAAATATATTCAATCTGATTGTTACTAAAGAAACTAATTATTTGGGTGCCATCTGGTTGAATGGGTATACTTAAAAAATTCGACAAGTTGCTTTACCTATCAGGTTGGGTGCCATCTGGTTGAGTTGGTATTGCAGACAGCTTATATACAGCCCCCAACAGATGAATTGGCTGACAGTCCGCCAGACGTTCGACCTGCATTCATTCATACAACTAGGACTCTCACTATTAAAGCAAAGTAGCATTCTTTACTATTCCCTATAAGTAGCTCTGTGCATATTTTTTCATTTATTAATCTTACAATGATGCTTTATTTTTATGTTAAAGGGGTGGTAGCAGAAGATATGGCGTTATCCAATGTGACCCATTGGTCCTCAAAGGTCTTGAAAGATCAGTGAGTAAATCATCAACTTGATCAGCTAGTAGGTGGAATGCTGGGACTCTTTTAATCATCCATATTAATGTGCAGCTGTACTCCGACAGACTTTCTGATAGAGCTGTTGGGATTTATTAAAAAAAGTGATTAGCACATTTCCAGAAGTTGCTACTATGTGTTTTCATTTTTTTCAAACCTTTATTACTTGTACTCCATTATATTATTTAATTTTTTATGCAGGCTCGACACATGGTTATTCCTTATATGCCAATGCTAGTTCCTCCAGTCAAGTGGACAGGGTATAAGAAATTCTGCTACCCACGTTATACAATTTCTTTTTGTACCATTATCTTCTTTCCTTTAACACATGTTGTATACCTAATATAGTTCTTTGTACTTGTGATCTTTAAATCTGTAGTTATGACAAGGGTGCATACCTTTATTTGCCTTCATACGTCATGCGCACACATGGAGCACGACAGCAAAGAGAAGCTATTAAGAGAGCCCCTAGGAAGCAGTTAGAACCTGTATACGAGGTTTTATAAATCAACTGAAGTTGTCCGATACTCCCTATATAATCCGACCTCCAGACCTCATCATTCAGTCCTTTTTGTTTTGTCTAGGCACTTGATACACTTGGAAGTACCCGGTGGAGGATAAATAAACGAGTACTCTCTATTGTTGATCGAATATGGGCTAGTGGTGGTCATCTTGCTGGTTTAGTTAACCGTGATGATGTGGGTACCTCTCTTAAAAGCTAAAAGAGCCGATCCTTTATAATTCCTGCAAAATGTAGTTAGGAACTTCCTATCGTTAAGTTTAGAGATGAACTGCTGGAATTACTCTTTAATTTATAACTTTTTTGTAGATCCCTTTGCCAGAAGAACCAGATACAGAAGACGAAACAGTAATTAAAAAGTGGAGGTGGAAAGTCAACAGTGTCAAGAAAGAGAACAGAGAAAGACATTCACTTCGATGTGATACAGAGCTCAAACTTGCTGTAGGATTCAATGTGTTCCCTGTTTTCATATTGTTAATTATTTCTCGTGCTATCCAACTAAACTTCACACTTACAGGTGGCACACAAAATGAAAGATGAAGAAGGTTTCTTTTACCCACACAATCTTGATTTTCGTGGCCGTGCATACCCCATGCACCCACATTTGAACCATCTTGGCTCTGATATCTGCCGGGGAGTCTTAGAGTTTGCTGAAGGGCGCCCTCTTGGGAAATCAGGCCTTCGTTGGATGAAGATACACTTGGCTAACTTGTATGCTTGTGGTGTCGATAAATTATCTCTGGATGGTCGGATAGCCTTTACTGAAAATCATTTGGACAATATATTTGATTCCGCTGACAGACCACTTGAGGGGAAGCGTTGGTGGCTCAAAGCAGAGGATCCTTTTCAGTGTTTGGCAGCGTGTATTAATCTCTCTGAAGCCTTGAGAAGTGAATCTCCAGAAATGGCCATTTCGCATGTTCCGGTGCACCAGGTGATGATTTAAGCGGGAATATTCACTCTTGACAATGCATCAGTTGCCCTGGATCTTATTATGTTACCAAAAATGTGACAGAAATACAGAATAAGAATATCTACATTGTTCTGTTTCAAGAGTCTTTTTTTATTTATTTATCACAATTGAGAACTGAGAAATCATTGAATATATCTGGAAGTGTTGCATTTTGCCCTTTCTAATCAGTTGTACTTGGTTATGACTGTTATGGTTGGCTTCTTATAAAGTTATATAAGGGGTTTAATATGCGCAATCGATCTTAGGATTCTAATAAAAAGAAGCTGAAGGCAGCTTTTTGAGAGACAGCTGAAAAGTGAAAACTAAGCTGTGTACCCTGAACTGGACCTTAGTTTCTTCCAAAAATTTCAAAAAAATCTTTATTATGGGCATCCTTAAACTAGTTTACTTTGACTTTTCACAGGATGGTTCTTGCAATGGTCTACAGCACTATGCCGCTCTTGGAAGAGACAAGGTAGCGATAATAATAATGTGCACAGCTTTGTCATTTTCATGAAAACAGTCTTTTGCATTTAAAAGAAATCCCAATCCTCTATCTTATTCTCTGTATCATTAACTTTTCTGTGTTCACTATATTCATAGTTCTCGTTGGTAATTGTTTGTCAGTTAGGAGCACTTTCTGTCAATCTGGTTGCGGGAGAAAAACCCGCCGATGTTTACTCAGGCATAGCAGCTAGGTAATCTGATTTTGTTTGGCATGCATATTTACATATAATAATGTATTTGTGTTGTCAAGCATTAGCTTACAGGTTTACTTGGAATTGTTTTTTTATCAAGCATTAGCTTACAAATTACTTGGAATAGTGTATTTTTTGTACTTTTTTATACTTTCTATAAATCAGCCAAGATTATCCACATTAAGCACAGTGAAGTGAATCACGCGTTATAGCGGCGTAGCTGAGCAGGGGCTGGGCGATATCAGATTGCCTATAGCGGAGCGGTTGGCGATAGCGCCAGTGGAGTGCGCTATATCGGGAAAAATAGCGGCTGCAGCGGGCGCTATAGCGCCGCTATAATTCACAGGGCTTCTTTAGTGCTAGTTTTGAGGGGATTTCGGTTTATTTTTTTACTTCCTGTCGTTTTTGAGTAAAAAATAATCCCACTACATCCTTCAAAACATGTGGTGAAGAAATAATCGTACTAAATGCTACTAACATAGCTCGAAATAGAAACCAGGATCAAACATAACCTACACTGTACATTTTCGCGTGAGTGTAGTCCAGGGCATCCAAACAACCTTGATTTTCTTATTCCGAGAAATGAATGACTGCTAATTTATCAATAATTATGCAGGAGCTTAAATTTTAATTTTAATGTTTCGGGTAAGTTACCTTAATGATTTGTTTCTTTTGTATAAGAAACTAGTGCCTTTTTATTGGTACCTCATTAAGAATGAAAATCATGAGGTTTGAGATTTTGAGTAACATATATTTATCATTTGAGAAAATTACCTAAATAGGACTAAAATAAGGACAAAGTTCATAAATAAGACTACCATTATGTTATTCCCAAAGTAGGATTCATTAAATCCTATTTGAGAAATAAAACATAGTTAGTCTTATTCTTGAACTTTGTCTATGTTTTGATCCTATATTGAGCAATTTCTATTATCATTTATTTGATTTGATATGTGCACGGCATGCTGTTATATGCATACATATGATAGCGGTGCTGGTCATTCTGCAATTCGCTATACAGCTGTAGCATTTTCAGGGTTGTCCGCTACGCTCCTCCATCCGGGATTGACAACACCGATTGAGCGTACTGTCAAATTTTGAGAAAATACAGCTTTATCAAATTTGTAACTTTGCACTTGTTCAGCTTCCTACCTATATGTTGATTGCTCAAGTTTTACCTTTTTTGGGGGCAATTCTTTGAAACCCTTTTAAATGAGAAATTGAATGAATCTGGATGGTACATTGAAGATGTGGGGATATTGCATGCCACACTTAGGTTGGATGAAATTAGGCTGTGAAGTGTTAACCTTGACAAGTCTTTCTCAACAGTATTTGGTAACTTCTTTATTGAAGAATAAAATATTATATGTCCATCATTTTTGGAATTTGTCCTCATGTAGAGTTCTGGATATCATGAAGAGAGATGCACTGGAAGATCCTGCCGTATTCCCTGATGCATTACGCGCTAGGCTTCTAGTCAATCAGGTTTGGTGTCTCTTCTCCAGTCTGTTTAAGTGTCTCTTCTAGGTTTCGTTATTTTACAAACATGCCATTTTATTGACTGTTGAGTTCTCTACATTAGTTGTCTACAAGGTTTGAGTCTGATATACCTGTGAGGTAAGCCTGACCTCTTGGGTATTCTTTCTGGGTGAGTTAGGTCCATTTTAACTTGGCATTAAAATGTGGTCATATGGTGGTCCGTGGGGTGCTCACCGACTCAGATGGTTTGGACAGTTCCTATAGGAGTCGGGTTGAGCCCATTCATTCATCCATGCAGTTGTCTAATCTAATTTGGGTTGAAGGGTGTGTTGAGTATCTTCACCGGCTGTCTTATGTGTTTAAGTCTAGTGCATGTGTGCGGTAAACCTCACCCCTCGAGGAACTTTCAAGGTGAGATAGGCCCGATTTAACAATGACACTTAGGGATGTTTTTAGTTGAACTTGTTTCATTCTCAGACCGGATCAGGCCAGAGCAAATTTGAACAGACCTAACCAGAGTTAAAAGACAATAGTAAGACATGACACACATCTACCATACTAGACATAAACAGACCCGATCTGATCAGACCACAGAATTTCAGACCAATTAAAAACATCTTTGGAAGTAGCACAATTGATGAAAATGCTATGTTTGAAGGTTTCACATCATTAATTTTAACTTGCGTATATTATATACATCTTATTAATTTTTGTTAGTACCAAATACCAATATTGGTCAAATAGTTGATAGAAGTTGTGGGCATTATTCAGGTTGATAGAAAACTGGTGAAGCAAACAGTGATGACATCAGTTTATGGTGTCACATATATCGGTGCCCGAGAGCAAATCAGGAGGAGACTGAAGGAGCGTGGGGTGATTGAAGATGACTCTGAACTCTTTGGTGCAGCCTGTTATGGTGCAAAAGTATGTGCAGGTTTGAACATATTGTATTTAGATTAGTTAATGTGACCAACTATATAAATCTATAACCATGCTTTTGCTGATGAATACCATTCATTGGCGAGAAATTTGCCCCCCGTAGTCTGATATGTGAGACTATTGATCACAAGCCTGGCCATTGCCATAACCATGAATTGTTGCAATATGTTTGGAAATAAAACCTAACCTAACCAAACAAATCCGATGTATCCCACTCAGAAGTAGGGTCTGGGGAGGGTGAGATGTGCATAGACCTTACCTCTTGCCTAAGAGTAGGTAAGTGGCTTCTAATGAGACCCTCAGCAAGTAGTGAAAGGTACTTGATCAATGTAGATTGCAAGTGAGTAAACTTTAGTAAAGTAAACACAGTAATTAGTTAGACAGTTAGTAGAATAGTGGCCGTCAATGATCATGACCAGCAGCTTTTTTCCTGATTGTCTAGGTCACATTGACTGCGCTAGGGGAGATGTTTCAAGCTGCACGCAGTATCATGACTTGGCTCGGAGATTGTGCGAAGGTGTGGATTCATATTTATTATGGCATCAAATTATTTATTATCTACTCATTTTTCTGCTATTCTGTCTTCTGTTTTTTAAATTCTTTGGATTAACATGTTTCATGCTTGGGTTGTAGTTGCTGAGGGATCTGAAATTTGTTGACTGAAATTGAATCTTTTAAATAGTAAATATTCAAAAACTTCAAGATTTATCATTATATTTACAGCATCGTCTTCTTATGTGTCAATTTTGCCACTTCAGATATACTTGAGTATTATCTTGCAGATATCGCAGCTGAAAATTTCTCAGAATAATTGATAGTTACATCACCCCATGACAGCCCCCTCCACATAAGATTGCCAGTTCTCAAATTTTGCAGATGACAAAGTTTTCTTTTCTTGGAACTCATTAAGAATCTAAGTGTCTAACGTGGTTGGCCTTTATGTATCTTTGATAGTTGATCGGACTATTACTATTTAATCTATGATGTGTTTGGTACCTCAGTGTATTGTGGAATATTATACTCCGTATTTGTTAACCATAAACTGTTTTGACAGATAATTGCTTCTGAAAACCAACCAGTTCGATGGACAACACCCCTTGGACTTCCAGTTGTGCAACCTTACCACAAGATTGGAAGGCACCTTGTATGTGTTCTTTTTTTACAATGTGTTTCATACTTTCATTGATGTATTTTCTCTTTTAACCTGCAATCTCCCCCCCCCCCCCCCCCCCCCCTCTCTCTCCCTGCAGGTTAAGACTTCTCTTCAGGTGTTGACTTTGCAGCGAGAAACAGAAAAGGTGCATTTTCTGCTTTTGACTATTAAAGTATCTTAGCTGGGTTACAACATACAAATCTAAGTTCTACTTCAGATTGCAGACTGGCAGTTGCCAGTTTTAAAACAATATTGTTTTTCATCTATCTATGGAAAAATGTGATTTTATCATCCATTTTCTGTATTTTAATTTGTATAAGTCAACCCATACACTTCAGATCATGGTCAAGAGGCAGAGAACGGCTTTCCCTCCAAATTTTGTCCATTCCCTTGATGGGTCACATATGATGATGACTGCAGTTGCATGCAAAAGAGCAGGCTTGAGATTTGCAGGTTCTTTGTGATATTTCATTTCATTTATGTTTAGTTATATGGTTTTTTTATTTTCTTAATCGTCTCAATGATTTTGGTGCACTCTTTGGCTGAAGGAGTTCATGACTCATACTGGACGCATGCATGTGATGTGGATGAGATGAACACGATCCTAAGGGAGAAGTTTGTAGCACTTTATGAAAAGCCCATACTAGAAAATGTAAGTGCATCACATCTATTTATATTTATTTGCTACCTATGTCCCCAAAAAGTCTTGTTTGACTGAGGTATGGCTTTTTAGTTTTGGTAAGGCTCAACGGCCATAAACACAAATACTAGTATTTTTAGATTTTCTATCTTAGTTTAACTAAAATTTTCAATACCAGCCGTTTGCGAATTTTTATTGTAAATTACTACATAGGAAATTAGTTTTTCTTGATCACAATTCACAACACAAATTTTTTTTGGGACAAGAAATTGTTCAAAACATCATTTGACTATTTGGTAGTAATAGGCATGTGATTTAAGAGTAGTTTTGACTTTGTATTTTGTGTGGTTCTACACTTCTACATAGTTGTGACATATTGGCATGTTTTAGTTTTTTGTGCTTGTGTAATGATGTGAAAGTTATATGTCTGGAATGCTTTGATCGTAGTACTCTGCACTCAGACTAGTATCCTTGTGATATGCTCCCTCCGTATTGAAATGTTCACTACACTTTCCTTTTTAGAATGTATTTTATTTTTGCTACACTTTCCTTTTTTGGTAAGTTTTCCCTTTAAAAATTTTCAATTACCCTTACTTTTTATCTTCTCTTTCATACTTTTCCATCCTCTCTCTTACTTTTTCTACAATATTTGTTACCCCTACTATTTTTCCCTCAACTATTGTGCCAAACCCTGTTGTAGCAAACATTTCAATACGGAGAGAGTATATTTTAAGACAGAGCTTCTATTATTTTAGAGCACCCACTTTTAAAGTAATGATTGTTTGATTCAGTAGCACCATTATGTCTTTTATCATTGCCCTTCAAACAAAATGAGAATGTTTCTTGCTCTTTCTCTTCATTATATGCACGAATGCATCTTTTTTAGTTGTATTTAGATTAGCAATCTGAATTGTGTTATACTATTGCCTAATGCCTAGACAAGCTAATGCATGCCAGAGGTGTGCCAACAAGTGAAGTTGGAATAAATTAAGATTTTTATTATTCATAGTTGCCCAGAATGTCACCGGCCTTTATGGATGGATGTGTGAAGAATTTTGCTTGAGAGTTGAAACCCCGAATATCCTAGCTTAGGTTTGCTCTAGAATTGAGATTTGAGACTCCAAAACTTAATTATTTTTACGCTTAAATATTATTTGTATTCAATTGTGATGGAACCCCAATATGTAAGGATAGTATCCATAGTTCAAATGTAATACAATAACTAAATCCCAGGCTAGTACAATAGCTAAAAATAAGTGTTGGACTAAATAGTCATCTAATTATTTTATTAGTCAAACTATTTAAAATATTATCCAACTATGACTAATAAAGAATCGTTATTAATCCCAACTTCTCTGGTAAATAATACCATAGGTGCATATTCTTATGTAAATATTTATATTTTTAGAAGTGTGCAGTGTGCCGACTGCCAAATTAAAAATTCATTTGAAGCTATAATAAAAACATTGTCCTAGAACAATAGTAGTAAGTCTAACTTATGTTGTCATGGCGTCATCTTGGCTTTACTTTGATTACAAATGATTGAGTATATTGTTGTGAATCTCTATTTTTTTAAAATACATCTGGGTATATATTTCTAATTAAATTTTTATTTGAGAGTATGTTTCTATTTAAAAATTGAACTTTAGTGATAGATGATTTATGTCATATATGAATGGTTTGTCTTTATTCCTACATTTGAGACATTGTGATGTTCACCATATGTCAATTATAACAGGTTTTATATAATCATACATTCATACATTTAAGATATTGTGATGTGTACCATGCTTTCAGCTCAAGGTCCTCTAATATTTCCATGTAACACTTAGTTAAGCCACATGTAGGTACACTTATTTTCATAATAATGTTTTTTAAAACAGTCAGTCTAGCATATTTATAGTTTTTTAAAAATATTTAAATACTACGTTCTGCAATATATAATACACAGTATAAAGTAAACACAAAGGAGGCACATAAATAATAAAAATAATTACTCCATCTGTTTTATACTCCGTATTAGTTGTCCCTTATGTGCCACATCCAATTTTGGCAGCTTCTACTTTACTTTTCAATATTCTCTTTACTAGTTTTTCTCCTTATCTATGGAGTATCTTTTCTAGTTTTTCAACGGAGTATATTTTAAATAATGTGTTTGCCCTCAAACCTTTAACCTTTTAAAATTGTGTCAAACTTACAAGTGCTGAACTCATTAGTTAGGCTTCCTTTTGTGTGTTTTGTGTTGTGTATTTTCATTTCATACTGCAATTAAGGTTTATCTATTGAGATTGAAGAAATATTAATATATGTTAATCATCCATGGTTGAGCGGAATCAGGATTTGCCATTTTCTTCTACTAGCACTAGCATGTTTTTGCACAATGAACTGTTTATTCCTCTAGCAATTCAAGCCACCTACCTGCTTATAGTAAATCCCCCCTGTTACCCTCTCACGATTCTTTAACAGTTATTGGAGAGCTTTCAGCAGTCTTTCCCCACACTGACATTTCCACCATTGCCTGAAAGAGGGGACTTAGATATGAAAGATGTCCTGGATTCTCCATACTTCTTCAATTGATTATTACTCTCAGGGAGGAAGTGCTCCCGTATTTGCTTCTTGTGTGATAAAATCTCGGGTTATGGCCTGAAGACGGCATGAGACCCTTGTCTTTGTATATATGAGCTGAAGCATACAATAATCTTTGACCTTGCTTCAATTTGAGGCGACACGGTTTTTGACCCGCTTTGTTGGATGGGCATCTCAAGTAGACATGGGGATATTGAGACCATCTGCATAGCTATGTGGTGATGGATTTCCAATGTTACCTGGTGAAAGTGGCTATACAGTTGACTAATTCTGCAACTGAAATGGCAAATCTCCCAGCTTCTTGATGTAAATGTTTTAAATGTGAAGGTGTTTCTTGCAAGCCTCCGAGCTAATTTTATTTATTTATTTTAATAATTCAATAGCCATGTCACTTTGTTTAATAGAGCTTTTATGTAATTCTTAAATATGTAAATTTTATTTGTTAATATTAGATTAGATATTATAAAATTGAATTGAGAATACCATCAGTCTTGTGTCTCTTGTCTCGTTGCATGAGTATGACATAACATATGACGAAGAGTGTTTGGGAAACATGATAAGGCTTTAGAGTTTAGATTATTATTGTATTTATTATTGTTGTTCTTGAGATTAATGTTACATTTTTGGTGATGCTAAGTATAATTAATAAACAATAACCAAACGCTAAAGAGTAATGCATACAACATACTCCGTAGTTCGTATCAGACATTCAGACAGTGATACTCTGATAGGCGAATGATATGAAACCCTTTGCAGTTTATTAAAAGAACAATGTATGTACATGTAAATGATGTAATAATGAAGTGGGAGAGTTGCACTTACTGTTCATGATGCTATCATACTTGATTAAAACTTATTCCAATTTGCACCAATTTAATCCACTAACACTGTGGACATAAAGTTGTTTCACCTAAGTTGAAGTCAAGTTATGTTTTTTGAATGGTATTCAACTATTCATAACAAAAGGACACAATTATTTAGGCAATAGCCGCAATAATTAAATAAAATATTTCGTGTATATTTTGAGAAAATTTTAATAGGTACGGAGTATATATTATAATGTAGTTAGTATTGATAATTGTGATATTATAAATGTATTATTTTTAATATTTAATGATTAGTTTGTCACTTAAGATTGTTAAATGTTTTCTAAAATGAAAATGAGAATCTTTATATGGGACGTCCAAAAAAGGAAATTGAGAACCTTCTAATGGAACGGAGGGAGTAGTTTTTATTTGCCAAAATTTTGTGCAACATATTCTTCATCCTAACAACATACTACTGTTTGGACTTTTAATTATGAGTTGTGCTATAGGTACCCCATTTTGGGTATCCCACACATTGTGTGGTCCAAAACTCCAAATGAGGGCACACTTAAATGTATTGTCTCACTTAAAAGTGTTGCTCCATTTGTGGCCACACAATAGGGTGAAGTAAAAATGAGGTACCCAAAATGGGGTATATTTAGCATTTCACTTTAATTATTGTGGCAAAGTGTGTTCTTCATAGATATCAAGTGAATCTTTTGTCCAATTTTATTGGGGCACACTAAAAGGCTCTTTTTAATATAATGGCAGATAAATTTTTTACACTTCTGATTTTCTAACAAGTTTTCTACCAAACAACATCAAGGAGATATATAGCATTTCCTTGTAGTTGATATTTTATTAGGATTGTTAAATGGCAGTTGTATTTTTCTCCTTATTAGAGGGCGAATTGCAAGTGACTATTGGATACACAATCTTAGATATTAGAATTAATAAAATACTGCTTAGAATACTTTTGTATACAGGTAATATAGCCTATTGGGGAAGAACTTAGGCCAACAACATTTTTTTGAATCATAACTAATGGAACATCATGTTCATAGTCTACTGGAAGCTAGAAGCAAGTAGCAGCAACTAGGGGTTAAAGCAGAGGATATTAGTAACCCAAGGTGACTGAATGCACAGTTAATCTAGTTGTGCTTCCTTGTTTATATTGGGATGAATTGCTCCAAAGTGCCCCTTTTTTCATGCACTTGAAATTGTTTGACTCCTCACCCTGTAAAAATTTATATACCTCTGTTCTTTTTTAATTGCAATATTGATTAGTTTTGGTATTCACATACTCTACTTTGATTATATTTTTTTATTTATGCATTATATTTTTTTTAAAGTGTTAAATTTCCCTCATTTTAAAATTTCAAAATATGTGTTTTTAATTTTTTTACTAATAAGAAACGAAATATATTAATGGTCAAATTTGTGCGTTGACAGAGGTGAAAAGTGGCCCATTGCAACTAAAAGAGAACAGAGGAAATAATTAGTTAATTCAATTGTGAGTCTATTAGATTCTATGTAAAAAGTTATGTGCAACCAACTTCTATATTACCATTAGCTTCTTGACGAACTCTAAATTCTATATCGGGGCATGACAAGTTAGGGCCGTGCCCCGATATACCTTCTCCCCGCCTAATGTGTTAGGCCAAAATATGTGATCTTCGTATTTCGAGCACAATCTTTCTTTAGCGTTAGCATTACTCAAGTCAATTCCTCGAATGTGGTAAATGAGCCTCAGGCAAGTAACATTCGACCCGCTTGATATCCATATGTACTTTGTGCCGATGTATATATCAACGTAATAGGAAAATCATTTTTTGTGAAACATTTCTTTTACAATAGCTTTTCTTGACATGAGAAGGATTTCAAAATGCATATGCCATTCAGTGTCGTTATTTTTAGTACAACCATTCTTGGTGCACACATAATTAGTAGACACTTGACACACTTTCCTGTCTACACGGATAATTGTTGTCTTTTTTTAACGAGTTGTCTGTTTACACAGATAACTAGAGGGTATACACATTTTGTGTATATTTTACACTCTCGTGTGTATATTGTACACAAACAATTACTATTCTTTCGTAAATGAGATGTCTTTGTAGTGTGTACACATGAAAGTGTATACAAGTAGAATTTTTCTTTTTCGTATTGAAATCGGGCCCGGTATCTTTGACAACCTATAAAAAGAGCGGATTCCTTTCGGTCAGCAGCTTCATTGGATCACCCAAAAAAGTAGACCTTTGCCCAGCCCAATCCATACTAAACCATGAAACCCACATATACTTCCACAGAACTCCACAGTCCAAATCATTTAGAGCAGATGATAAAGGAGAGGAAACAAAGAAGGAAGATGTCCAATCGGGATTCTGCGAGGAGGTCTCGCTTGCGGAAGGAAAAACATCTCCGCGAGCTTCGGTCTCACCTGGTTTGGCTCTGGAATGAAAACGAGAACCTCTCCCTCCAAATCACCCATCTCACTCATCGCCATCATCAATCCATTCTCCAGAATGCTCAGCTCAAACAGGATGCCATCCAGCTTACCCAAATCCTCACTTGGATTCTCCTTTTCCTCCATTAGCTAGCTCCCTCGAAACACATTATACGGAGTATTATTTATTTCATGGAGTTTGTTAATGTGGAGAACTCATTTCTTTTAGAAATTTTATCAATTTGCGACGTCAAAATAGACGAATTATCAATCTGGTATCCGAAATATGAAATGTATCCGTATAAGATTCGAAAGGAAAAATTATCGATCTAGAACCTAACATTTCATAGATTTTGATTTATGGAAACAGAAACTTCTCTTTGGAACATCCCTAAAAAGAAAGTAAGAACTTTTCAGAAAAATAACAGACGTTATATATTTACTCCTTCACTACTTTAACTCCTTGTAACTTTTGCGTGTTCACTTTTTTTATCACTTTCTCACTTAATCAATTAATTGTGATTACATTTATTTCTCTCCCTTCTATACAAATTTCAATTGCTAAGAGTGACATTAATGGTTAATTCGTAACCAGTCATATATATCTTGAGACAACATTAATGAACAAATTTACAATTTATTCCATTTTAATCTTGTCATGTTTATAAAGATGTGGAAGAATGGAATGAATATTATTGATGAAATACAAGAGTATATATAATACAAGAGTCCTAATGTATGTGAACTAGGTATATACAAAATAATATAACACATGTACATGGGTCTAAAGTATACAACTTAAAATAATAATAATTAGCCCGTATTACGCCCCCGCAAGATGGAGGTTTCATTGAAAACACCCAGCTTGGACCGAAAATGCTCAAATTGTGCCTGTGCAAGTGGTTTAGTAAGAACATCTGCAATCTGAAGTTTGGTGGAGATATGAGAGATGCGTAATTGATTACGTTGTACCAGTTCACGAACAAAAAAGAAGTCCAGAGCAAGATGCTTCATACGTGAATGAAATACCGGATTCACACAAAAATATGTTGCACCTTTATTATCACAATATAAAGTGGGAACAATGCGTTGAGACATGCCTAGCTCCTACAAAATATTTTTTACCCACATAACTTCTGCACTCGCATTAGCCACGGCTCTGTACTCCACCTCAGTGGATGACCGAGACACACTCTTCTGCTTGGTCGACTTCCAAGAGATGATATTGGGCCCAAGGTAGAGAACATAGGCAGTGGTGGAACGACCATCATCCTGAAGTCCACCCCAATCAGAGTCGGAGAATGCAGATAGATGTAACCCCTGTGACCGGTGCATAAACAAGCCATAATCCAAGGTACCTTTGAGATTAAGCATGATACGCTTCACTGCCCGCCAGTGATCATCCGTGGGTTGGTGCATGTACTGAGATAATTTATTGACCGCAAAGGCAATATCCGGACGCGTAAAGGACAGATACTGAAGCAAACCGAGCGCCCGCCTATAGGTCGTGACATCCGAAAATGGTGCAGCCGGAGAGGCTGAACCACTGCCACCGGAGGTCATAGGTGTGAGGGACGGTTTGGTCCCCAGCATGCCATGAGATTCCAAGATATTATGTGTGTACTGACGTTGAGATAGCAGCAAACCCTGCGGAGTAGGTAGTATCTCGATACCCAAAAAATGATGTATGGGACCGAGATCCTTAACGGAGAAGGCATGTGTCAGGCGTGTGACGAAGTGATCTAAAGCCGCATGAGAGCTACCTGTAAGGACATTATCATCCACATACACCAAAAAATAGATAAACACCCCATCACGTGCAAGGATAAATAGGGAATGATCCGTATGAGACTTGCGGTACCCTATATTTAGGAGAAACCGAGATAGCTCCATGTACCAGGCACGAGGGGCCTGCTTAAGGCCATATAGCGCCTTACGAAGCCTGCAGATGTGGTTGGGGTGTTGCGGATCAATAGACCCCGGTGGTTGTACCATGTAGACCTCCTCCTCCAAGGTGCCATGCAAAAATGCATTATTAACATCCAACTGACCCAGGGGCCAGCCTCGCGCGAGAGCAATAGTGAGAACAATACGGAGTGTAGCGGGCTTAAAGACTGGGCTGGATGTTTCTGCATAATCCCTACCTGGCTGGCTGGCTGCTGCAAGAAACCACGAGCAACTAAACGGGCTTTATAACGGGCAACACTCCCGTCGATGTTCCGTTTGACTCGAAACAACCAACGACATGTAATAGGCTGGTGCTGTCCAGATGGTACAAGGTCCCACGTATGATTGCGCTGAAGCGCAGCAAATTCCTCATCCATGGCTTTCTTCCACCTGGGATCCTGCAAGGCAAC